AGAGAGAGAGAGAGAGAGAGAGAGAGAGAGAGAGAGAGAGAGAGAGAGAGAGAGAGACATATCTATACTACTAATAAAAGAGAGAATAGCCCCATTTTCTGGACTTTTCATTATACATTTTTACCCCTTATCTAAGCAACATACAATGACATAAAAAAAGACATAACAGTTAAGAAACTACCCACTTATAAATGTTCAAAAACTATCCACTTATAATAGTTAAGAATTTGCCCACTTATGACTATTCAAAAACTGCCCATGAATTGTAAGTAGTTTTGTCTTGGAGATACTGTCACGTGCAAATGCTTGTACATGTTTACTAGTATTTATATATGTATGCAAAATATCTATACAAACATGTATGTATGTATATATATGTAAATATGTATGCAATATTTACATATATACACATATATATGTATAAATGTATATAATTGGGCCAGGTTCGGACTACCTAAGGGCTAGGCCCGAGCCTGGCCTGAAAATAAAAAAGCCTGACTTCTTAGGCTCGAGTCCAGCCCGATGACCAAAAATCCAAGCCCAACCAATGTAAAATTCCGAGTTGGGCCAGTTCGGACTCGAGTTGGGCCCGCCCAAGTTGCACACCTATCGGTGACCCCTTGATACACCCCCAAAGTATGTATTTTTGGGGTCTGATCTGGTTTGGGAGGTAGACGGGCCTTAAACCACCCACTTATCGAGCTATGCCTAATGTATCCATATTTAGAACCTTGAATTTACCTATTTGAAATTGTGTGTGTATGTGGGGGGGGGGGGGGGTTAAGTAATTGTTTTACGAGCTAGGGGTGAAAATGGATTGGATCATGATTCAATCCTATCATATATTATTGGATTCGGATAGCCCCAACTTGGATCTTCAGACTGGATCGGGTCATATTGGATTAGATAATAGGGTACGATCAAAAATTAGATCGGATTTGGATCATCCCTATCTGATCCGAGAAGATTAAATTCGACATTATATGTTATTTATTTATTTATATAAATAACACACACATATACATATATATATTATATGTTATTTATTTATATAAATATATAATACATATTTATATATATGTGTTATTTATTTATAAATTTAGTATTTATATTACATTTTTATAAATTTGTTATATTATTTATCTTTTTTATAAAAACATGTATATATATAAATATGTGATGAAAATAGTTAGAATGATACTTGTAGTTTTTGTTTTTTTATCAAATTGTTATATTTTATTTTCCTTTTAATAGTTTATTATTTTTTTAAAATCAAATCAGATCGGATCAAATAAAAAAGTCCGACTTCTTCATCAGATTCGAATTCAGATCCATAATTATCATATTCGAATCCTATCCGTTTGCATAGGATGTTTAAATAATTTACCCCAAAAATAAAACAAAATTTACACTATCCTAAGTTACACGGTCAACATTGTACCCGTGCAAATGAAATTGCACTGACAAAGCAAACAAACGGATCCTTACAGTTTCAGACTTCAGGGTCTACAAATCAAGCGGTCGAGAACGTCATCTCCAATCCTCATAGTTTCTAAGTCTGTAAGTTATTATTGAATGCTGCAAACCCATGTGGGCTTGCGGACTCTTCGTAACTCGTACAAGCTGACAAAACGTTGTTGGTTCAGTTCGAGTAGGAAAATCCTTGGCATACATCCAACCGTGCTTGAGACTGGCATCGGCAATTTGCCACGTGGATCAGATAAAGAAAGATAGATAGACGGGGGGAGAGAGAGAAAGAGAGAGAGAGACAGAGAGCATGATGAGATTTTCGTTCATTCTCCAACACGGGGGCCCCTCTCTCTGAGGCAACATCGGAGACGATTCTACCATGAGATGACCAGTAGCGACGTTCTTCAGGCGAGTAAATATATAGTAATTAAATATTAAAATTAAAGAAAAAATCAAGTATTTTTCCTGATTTGTTATTTGTGCTGCTGTAAATGGTCGAACAAAATACCTAAATTGGCGTACTTGAGCAGAATTTAGCTCGGTGTTTGAAGAAAACTGCGATTAAAGGATGTCAAATCCAGTCGACCTCATCCTGGGGCAGTCGAAGGATCTCGAGAAGTTGAGGGGAGAACTGGAGGATACCTTGAACGAAATCAATAAGATCCATAAAAAGCTGCAATCCAGTGAGTTTCGCAACTCCAGCAACACGGACTCTAATTTGCCTTACCCTAGAGTTTGAATTTGTGTAAACAGGACACTTTTCAGTATACTCAGTTTTTTGCTGGGTTTTTTATATAGTTTTAGTTATTATTTGATTATACAGAAGTGTTTGCTCGTCTTCTGAGTGGTTTTTTTGGTGTAACTTTTGTTGTTATAAGACGCTTGTTTACGTAGTAAAGATTAATCACGATGATAACAACAGAACTAATACCGTTGTACAATGAGGTTAATATGCCGATGTCTTGGTTCCTAGGAAATGCCGAGTCAAATTGCTGTTTCTGCTACTGCTTGTCTGCTTCCTTTATCTGCCACCTTGAATTAGTCTTTGCAAGAATGATCAATTATATTGTTGATATTAAAGAAATTGGTTTAGTTCTATTTGATGTTTCCTAAAAGACGTGGAGACTGTTACCACAGTTTATCATGTAAAAGTAACCAGCCAGGCTGTTATTTGGTCCCGTTGGTGTCCACAAGGCAAGCTTCACACAGCTAGGAAGGGAGATCATCCGAGGCCCCTAAATCTACCAATGCCTTAATATGTTCCGTTTCTTTTAATATAAGCTGAAAAAAGTTAGCTGATGAGGGCAGGGGTAGTTTGGTAAGTAATCTTCTGTCTTATGTCAGTATTTGAGGCCTAAAAAATGTGCATGCCTTGCTTATACTGTAGCCAAGCTGGAAATATAACACAGGGGCAGATAATGGATTTAAGTTCAAAGTATACCATTTTTACTTTGACAAAAAAGTTGGGACTTTCTTTTTGCGGGTAGCTTATTCCAAGGATCACCAATGAATTATTGTTAGAACCCAGAAGTAATTTAGTGTTTGCGCTCTAGAGTCCTTTTTACCATCCTGAATGTGGTTGGGTCTTTATAGGGAGCTTGTCATGTATTAGAGCTGTTCATTGGCTGCAACAGGAGATGAATTTAGAAGTTTTTGCATTGGTGATATAATTAGAGGATAGTTCAATGTTGGTTGCTCATCCACACGAAGTCAGATTACAAATCAAAATTGGAGTTCTATGCCACAAGGAGTAATAAAGCTCATTTTCAGTGCCCTTGTGACTCATGATAACCATGGGTTGTCACATGTAGATTGAAGGGATTCATGGATGGTTATTACCTTATTGGTGTTTCAGGGAAGGAGAATGAGGGATCATGGTTTTTTAATATTACATTAGAGAGGCTAGAGCTTTGGCAGCTAATGTGAACACCTTGTTTAGGTGGGTGCAAATAGTGACACATCCTCCACTAGACAACTTAGCTAGAGGGGTGGAGGGCAAATTTCTATTGGGGGTGCTACTCTACCAGAATAATGTCTATGGTAAATATCTTGATTTTTTTTTTTGGATTGGAAATGGTTAAATATCTTGAGATTGTCATTGTCTGTATCTTTGATGCAGTTTGTGCTTAGTTTGGCTTTCTGTGAAAGGTTTGGACTTGGCTCCTTATTTTAGGAGTTAGATGATCATCTACCCTTCAGCTTTTGCAGTATTAACAATAGACTTGCAAATTGTCCATTTCTTTCTCAAGTTATTGTTATATCATATTGTTAGTCCTACAAACAAAATGAATATCTTCCTTATATTCTTTCTTAGTTTCTTATATGGGATCGAGTTTCAGTTGGAAATACAATGTTCTATATATATATTTTGATAGGCAACCATGAAAATTTTATTAATACAATGTTATTTATTGAATAAGAACTTTTTGTTTTTACTTGTTTTCCGTATGTCCAACTGATGAATTTCTTCTGTACCCCTTTGCTACTGCATGCAGCTCCTGAGATTGTTGAGAAGACTGGTGATGGTACATTAGGGAAACTTCGAAGTCTATATCAACAGGCAAAAGAACTTTCAGAAAGCGAAATGAAGTATGCCCATTCTAAGACTTTATCAATGGTAGTTGTGTAATAGGGACAGCATGAGTGATAATAAATTGAATGCACAGTCAGAGCATAGGAATAAATTGGGCTATTGTCTTTGAATGTTAGTAAGAAGGGTTCAAGGCACATAAATGTTACTGTCTTTTTGTATCTAAAAGAAAATGTTTATCTCTTTTGTTTTTTTTATATGTGCAGTAATTCACTTGAAATGTTGCGGTTATGCCTATCTGTATTACAAAAGGCATGAGACTTATGTCTAGAGGCTTGCCTCAAGTGAGGCTCAAGGAAAAGGCCTCAAGACTCAACATTAAAAGCTCATGCTTATGATTAAAGGATACCTGCCTCACTCCTCTAGTTGGCCTATTTTTGATTCATATGCCACTCATAAAAAGTGGCAGCCCAGTACACGAGGCTCCTGCCAATGTGGAGTCTAGGAAGGGACAGATGTACGCAGCCTTACCCCTGCACATACAGAGAGGCTGTTTCCAAGATTTGAACCATGGTCACTCTGGTCCCAATGGAGAAACCCAACCATTGTGCCAAGGCCCACCCTCACATACATAGTTTAAAGTATCAATACACCTCATATGCATGAACATGTGTATTGGGTGTTTCACTACTTTATAACTTTCTTATTTTAAGGTCTCGTATATTACTGAAAAAATAGGATTAACATCACAAATATGAGAGTAAGACAGTCATTGATTTTACTTTTCCATTTTTTGTCAATCAATTTAAGTAATTATATTTAACTTTTCAAAGACCCTTTTGATGTTTTACTTCACATTTAAATAAGAGCTTGTTGGATGTTGGATTTTACAATCTACACAGTAGAAATGGTTTATACTATATGGCTTACCAATTTGTTTCTGTTTGTAGGAACAAAATTCCATGACATCCTTTACCTTTTAAGTCTTACTCAAGGCAATTTGTGCGTCTTGTCTTTGTTTTTTAAACTATTATGTTATGATTAAATCATATCACATGTGTAAGTTGTCTCAATAGACATCATCTTTGAAGCTTTTGTGATATTCTTTTTTATGTATCTTTTCCTATTTTTGTTTAATTTTTAAAGAAATTAGTACATCTTGCACTTCTGGAGATCATGACTCTATGCCTCAAGTTTTCACCATTTGAAATACTGATGCCTTTAGCAACTTGAGGTGTTTTAACTAGAGAGTATTTTCTACCCTCAAGTTAATGTTATATTTTCTCCTGCAGCATGTCAAATACGTTGGCTAATCATCTGGAGGGTTTGATACAGTCTGGGGTTCCCCAACAGACACGCAAAGCCAAAGGTTTGTGCATGAATCTGTGGTACTTTAATCTATATAGCAAAAGACCCCTTTTCTGAAATCTAGCCATGCCAGACTGTCAAATTTACATATCGGGTGCATGTTGATGCTTCTAAATCATGCTAGAAACATATTTTATATAATCTCTGTTAGGCACCTTGAATCAGTGTTTGAAATTGGCACACATGTTGGTTGTCAAATTCATAGTTTTTGTTTTATATGTATATATTTATGTATTTTTATTTCCTTTGTGAAATATTTCTGCTTGAAGTTGTCATATACTTATATATTTTTTTGATCAGTAACTGATAAATATTTATTAATGAAAATCAGTAAGTTACAAGTTAGATGTGAACAAACACCCACTAAGAGAGCTAGCTTACAAATACAAATTTTCTTAGTTCAGATTTACAATCCCCCAAAACAATTCCTTTTTGTTAACTCCTAGTTTATCTTGATCATCAGCCATGCTGTTTCCAGATCTAGGAATCCATCTGAAGGAGCACCTCATATCAGTAGCTAGAGCTTTTATTTCCCTTAACATGCATCTGAATCTCCAAGATCCAGCTTCATCATTCTTCAGCCACCCTACTAGAATCTTTGTCTCCCTCAATCTCAATATTCCTTGAACTGATGGACTTAGCTAACTTGAGACCCTCAAGCAAAACCAGATTTTCTGCTCTTGTAGAGTCCCCATAACCTGCTGGACCTGAGAATACAGTCAACATGTTCCCATCTGAGTTTCTGAGAACTCCTACTCCTGAAAGTCCTGGATTGCCCAGGCTGCAACCATCAAAGTTCAGTTTGATCTGCATATCTTGGGGTGGAAAGTGGAAACCAATGTATAGGATGCACTACTAGTAAATGAAGAGGATGCTACCTGTTGCGAGTTCCTTTGGAAACCATCAGCTTGAAGTGCTTGAATTCTTACATTGTTTTGATCCACTGCATAACCTTCATCTTGATATTTTCAATGATAACTTCTGCCCCAGAGATTTTATCTTTAAAGATCCTGCTGTTTCTCTCCTCCCAAATGCACCATAAAGTGGCATCCCTGACACGTCTCCATAATCTTCTTCCTCTCTTCTTTGGTGGAGCTAAAAAACTTGGATTGAATAAGCAAGCCAAATCCGAAGGAGGGAACCATCTGCATCCTAACAAAGAGAAGAAAAAACTCTAAATACCTGAGGCAAACCTGCAGGAGATTGGTGAGTGGAGAGCAGGTTCTCAATTTTCTAGACAAAGAGAGCACACATGAGGTGATAGGCAACACTGAGGTCTTCTTTTGCACAGTCACAAATATTAATTTTACCATGGCAAACCTCCCAGGTGAAGGCTTGAATCCTGAGAGGGACAGGGCCCACCGTAGAGCCTTAATAGATGAGCCTAAGGATGTGGAGGAACATAAAGCTTTATGAGGCACAGGAGTACAAACTATGAGAAGCCAAGTGTGTCATATGCTTTTTAATTTCAAACTGAACTTTTTTTTTCCATTGAAATTTTATAATGTTGGACTGAGCTTTCAAAGTTTAATATGTTGTGATTTACCTACTTATATGAAGGTTTTAATGCCTACAAATGTTGGTAGTGCACTAGTGTTTAATCATAATGAAAAAACTTAATGTCCATTTTTACTGTTTTTTTTTTTTTGGTTGGCAATTAAGGACCATTACCCAATGTTGGACCTGGCTATCCAGGGTCTTGGGAGGGGTGAACTGGATAAGGACCTAAGAATGGATACAGACATAAGCTTTGACATTTTTTGCACAAAGTGGTCACTTTCTGATTTGAACCAGTATTCTCACACTTGTCAGTCCAAGATTTTATCAAGGCACCAAGCAATGATCCCTTTTTGGGATAACTGATTGGTGGAAACCTGATTGCTATGGGAATGAGAAAAATTAAGGTGCAAGCAAAAAAAGAAAAAAAAAAAAAGAATAGGACGAAAGCCCATAGGATTGTCTACACCCCAACACAACTTGTTCCTGCTAACCTCACTTGTGGTGAAGAAGGCAGCTGGATTATTTACTAATCTCCTAATCCAGTGGAACAAGATGTTACCCTCATTAGTGATCTAGCCTCTCTAATATTATTTTTTATCAGCAAAAGGAGAATTTTATTCAAATAAGAGAAATAAATACAGGGTTACAGCAGCTAGAAGCAAAACAGTGCACCAGAAATAGTTACAATAAAGCCCAAAAAAGCTGTTGCCTTTGAACTCCCCATTTAGCTAGAGAATCAGCCATTCCATTTGCAGTTCACCCATGGATTCCATGGGCTCCTAGGAGACCAGGCAGGTCCTTCAAGCTCTCTCCTTGGCAGTTTGACGTAACTAATATGACCTTCATGTACGACATTTTTGTTAGAGCCACATCTTTTCTTTTTTCTATGTGGACCCCATCTTGTTTGTTTGAGGCATCTTTACTTTACAGAGTGTTGGGCATGGCCAATATGCTGGTGAGTGTATAAAGCAGTCCCACAGAAATGTCTGAATATATCAATCTGATGATCATAATGAAGTTTTCAGGATTTCTGCTGAGATGTCAGGGAACTAATTAGAAGTGAATGTTAAATCAGGAAAAGCCAAAAAGTATTGTGTCCTGGTTTGTAATCCAACATGATCTGATGCTACTCTGATTTCTTTCTATTTCTCAAATCCCAAACCTATGGCATAATTTAACACCACAATTAACAGCTTGACATTTAACATGTTTAAATGAAGATTAGATTGAGCTAGGATTTTCTCAGAGGATAATAATTAGGTAGGGATGATGACTGGATTTGAACTTGTACTATTTTATTTCCAATAAAATGTGCTAGCAAGCTGCACCATATTCCTTTCAATTGGTCTAATAATTGATTGCATGGCATAATATGAAGGGAGAATATCTTTTTTAGGTTCTAGGTTCATTGGAAATTTTACTACTTGTGGATCATAAAACTTAGGTTTACTGTTTGTTAAGATTTTACTTTTGAGATTTACATGGGTAGTTCCTTGCAGAAGGCAACGATCAGAAAAAGAAGCGGATGAAATCTGATCTGGATCCAAGAATTTCTCCTGCTTCTTCTGTGCGAACGCAACTTGAGCTTGCTAATCTAAAGGGGGAACAGGTGTGTTATGTCATTATATTGCTATTGGTTTTTTTCTGGAATCATTGACCAAATCGATGAAATTTCCAATTGGTCCTCTCTTTTTTGCATCTTCTAACATGTTTCACTTAAAAATTGTTGAGGTGTTCATGTTGGTTGCTCGAATACGATTTTATTCCATTTATTATTATTTTTTGTTCTTTATTTTTCTTTGTGAATGCTATCTTGCTTTTGGATGTTATTAATCTTGAACCAAAATCTTGTTCTATACCTTTTCAGGTTGCAGCTAGGGTCACACCTGATGATGCTGAGAAAGATGAATGGTTTGTTGTAAAAGTAATTCATTTTGATAGAGAAACCAAAGAGTAAGTTCCATTGCTTATGGTTTGATGATTATGTCACAAAACCTTCCTTCCATGGTATGGAGTGTTTGGAATTTTGGATACATTATGCACCATTTCGGTTTATTGAACTTTGATGTGTCCAAAAGTATGTCTCACCCGGGGTGTCAACCTGGGAAGCTGGCCAGGTGATGGGTTTGGTGGTTCAACCAGATAGTTAGCTTGTTGAATCCGTCAAAACTCTAAAAATCTAGGATCCAGTTGCTCAGGTCACCAGCTTGCTGGTTCAACTGCCCAGGTTCATGACAGTTTCAAAAAACTAGGTCCCACGACTCTCACCAGTAATGTCTGCCTTACTACTGTTTCAGTATAACCAACATCTCTTTTCTGAATTGGCAGTTTCAGTATAAGCAAAAGCTTCATTTAAAGTTTAAATCATATCATTATTGTCAATTTTCATTCTGTAGATTGTGTATCTTTAGGCAATATTCAATGACATTCCCTTGCATCACTTGTGACAAATGAATTCTGGACCTCTTGAACTCCTGAATTCCTAACAACCTTAGTACAAATATTCACAACATGGATATGGGATGTACCAAAAACCCTCACCTGCTTTTTGATTTTGGGTTGGACTGATTGGATGTGCAACCTGCATGCCCCCTTATTGACACACAATGGACAAAACTATTAAGTGATATTGCACTCTATGCACTTGAGTAGATTAATGTGTTTCTTATTCTTTTGGTTACAGGTCTATCATTTCATCCTTTTGTGACCAATATTGTCCTCATTGGATATGAACCATAAAATGCATCCAGTCATTAGATATAGCACCTAGATACAAAGACCCACCTGAACACACCTAAAGTCCCAAATCTGCACAACATCAGAAATGCCACTTATTTCCTTTGCTTTCAATTTATTTTGATTGTTGGGATTTGAAGGCATTTCCTTGGTGTTGTCCACTGCTTGACTTTCCCAGAATAAGCTTTATGCTATATTGACAAACTTTTAAGCTCTAATAAAGTGCCTTAAAGTACAGTATATTTCAGTGTTTTAAAAGCAAGAAAGGTGCAAGAAAAGCACAAGGGCCTTTTAGCGCTTGAGGCACAGGGTGAGGTGCATGCCTAGATGAAGCATGGCACACATTTTTGAAAAAAATCAAAGAAAAAATAAATTTAATCCATAAAATATGAAAACCCGATTTTTAAAAATATTAAATATTTTAAATGCTTATTAGCGCAAATCAAAATATATAATCATAACATATAAAACAAATTCAAAATGAAAGTGAAAGAAAAAAAGTGGATTGTACCATAGTGCTCTGAGCATGGTTTAAAATGTTCCTAAATTTCCTAATATTTCCATTTCCATGGGTAGTGACCCGAAATTTTACTGGAATTGACATATTCCCCAGTGAACACTACCAACACTATGTGGAGTAGTTTCCATGACATATTTCCATCTCCATGGGCAGCAACACGAAATTTTATTGGAATTGACATATTCCCTAGTGAACACTACCGGTACTATACGGAGTATAAGAGATAGTATTATAACATAACTTGGTGACGATATTTTAGATATGTTGAGTAGCAATGTTATTACCCACCTAACTTACATGATTACTACTTTGAGCCAGCTTGATATTCATTTCAAAGATGAAGTTAAATATTGGTTTTGTTTGTGCAATAGATTATTTGATTGATCCATTATAACTGTTTACATTTTCTATAAGTTTAAATTTTGCTTTAACTCATTCTATTATGTAGTTTTGAATCTTAAGGTTTATAGGACAACTTAAAAAATGTACTCTTTTGTCTGTAACCTTAGTTTTTTTTAGCTTTGTTTAATGATTTGGAACAAGATAATAATTTAAAAAGGTGTGCTCATGCTTCTTTTATCACTTAATAAAATATAATTCTATATTTGCATATTTTACAATGTTTCCACCATGTTCATAACTTTTACAATATTTCCATATGACATTTCTGACATGTTTCCTATATTTGGATGACTGAAATTTCCACTGACATTGGCATTTTAAACCTTGGCTCTAAGCATTCAACAATTCAAGCACATGAAACTCTCAATGTTGTTACCCATCCCTTAGTCGTATTACATTAAATAGCTAGTGTGATGATAGATGTCTTGCATTCATATCTGCAATAACTAGGGCTTTTCAGGTATTCAAAAGGCCTTTGCTTTTGTCAATGTTAATAGACCATCAGTGGTGCACAAACAATAATAAAAGGTTATGTAGAAGCTAATAGACCATTATAAAGGTATAAAAAACATAAGAATGAACATAAAAGCAACAAAAAATGTAAACTTATAAAAGGCACATGCTTGGTCACCTTACACCTTAACCTAAGAACATGCCTCTGAAAGGGGTGTTGCCTGGGTTCAATTGAGGTTCATCTTTTAAAACACTGACCTCCCTGGCATGTGTACATGGCTTTCATGGTTCATGTTCTTTATGCTATTTGAGTGATTTTAATGTAGCTGTGTTTTTTTTTTTAATTTGTTTTTGGTCTCTCTGATCTATGTCATGTAGCATTCATTAAATAAGTTGCAGCTTTAGTCTTAAGATAGTTTCATTAAAGAATATTCACTTTGTTTATCGTCATTCATAACTAGTCATAGGACAAAATAGTTTGGAATCTGCTATTGCTCATTAAGAAATGATTACCATCTCTATGCAGATTTGAAGTACTTGATGAGGAACCTGGTGATGATGAAGAGGGTGGTGGCCAAAGGTAGACTTTGTGTATATTGAGTTGGTTTGGATGGTTTCTTTTGCTTTCTTGTCCTTTTCATTCTTTTACTTTTTTCTTATCGGATTTTATTAAGGAGGAAATGTGAAGGAGGGGTACAACAATACCCACATACAATAAATCAGAAAATGATAAATCTAAGATGTAACCACAACCCCCTTAACCTTAAGTAATAGAGATGATGTTCCCCAAGTCATTACAGAAATCAGAAAAGAGTAGGCCCTCAAATTCCTTCAAAATTGAATGACATGAGAAGAGAGTTATTCAATCTTGCCTATCAACATCCTCACACTGCTTCCCTTAAAAAAATTTGTTATTTCTCTCTTAGCAGATTCAACCAATAACAAAATGAGTTAATTCGATAGGATGCTACCTTTCTTACTAAAGCCTCTAGTTTTCCAGGAGTCAATTAATCTCTCAAGATCAGCATGAATGATCCATTTCTGCCCAAAGAAATGACTTTTGCATGGTATTTTTGAGTCGTGTATCATGCACACATGTGGCTCATTTTATTTAGTACACGAGAACATTTATAGCTTGGTAACATGCAGCCATTTTTTTTCCAGATTGCAGAACTTACACCTTGAACATGGGTCTGCTGCTGAATCTTTGGTAGCAAAATATGCTGCTGTGTCTTTGGTTGGCCCAGGAAGCATCTGTTGTGCATTTTGGTCATTACACATCTACCCTCTCTAAATTACATGTAATTGACTAAAATACTTTGGAGATGCCACCTTGACTAATCATAGTGTTTCAGCAACGTGCTATGCTGCTGAAGCTTCAATAGAAAATCTGTATTTTTTACCTATCTACCCTCCTTTCTCCCTCTTTTAATTAGTTGTCCGTAGAAAAGGAACTGTTGGATTAAACTCCTATTGATATGGTACTGGCAACTTTTGAAGGAGTTTTGTTTCCAGGACTTGCCAAATCTTGTATGTTCTTTTAGGGAGTATTGTTTTACTTCTTTTATGTCTTATCAGAAGTAGGTTTTGTTGCTGTAAATTAAAGAATTCAAAGGTTTCTGGGAATTATTAAAGTTAATTTTGTTTTGCCAGTTTTAAGTGTCTTTTTGGGTCTTATCGCAGAAGCTGATACATCAGGGAACAGAAATGGGTCACCATGGGCTAAAGGAGCATAGAGTTAAAACTCAAGGGTCACAGCCCCATCTCATGGTTCTTGAGGCATCCTTTTCCATGTGAACAAGTCTGTAAAGTTGTTGATTTTGGTAGAATTAAAGTTAATTCTACTAGCTCCTGAACAATCCTGGGATCTTGCATTTCAATTTGAATAAATTTTGGCAATCCTTCTCAAATGAGAATCATGTAGGTCACCTCAAATAACGGGATGCCTTTGTCATGTTGTCATGTATGAAACCACAACAAAATTAATGTTTGGAGAGATTTATTTTGTGGTTTCAAATTTAAGTATTTCCATTTTTAGAAGGTGAACTCCTAATTAGTTTTTGAGTTGTGTTGAGTCTGGAAGGCTATTTCCTTTCAAGTTTAGTTTGCCATAGATTAAGTCTAAGCAGGAGTTATTAAGGGACACTGTCTTGACACATACATCATTTACTCTCTAATTTTTGTTGTCTTATCTTTGATGTACTGCTATTATTATTGTTCCTGAACTGCTGAACCTTTGTCTTAACTCTCAAGGGCTAGTGCATTCCCAGAAGCTATGTTAAAGCACTAAGCAGTCACCAGAGGAATCTGATTTATCCTCTAATTTTTGACATAACTGCATGCTTTTTTTTATTTTTTATTTATTTCTGACATAGCTGCATGATTCTTCTTGTGTTTCTTTCTTGAGTGGATTTAGTTGTCTCATCTACATTCGATATGATTCAACTGTAAGCTTGGTTGGTATATTGTGATACCAGGCAGTAGATTGTTGGTGCCAGTCACCTAGTTCTGAAGGTGTTCTAGGCTATGTTACTCTGCCATCAGTTTTGTGGTTTCCTTATTTCTGCGCAAATCTCTAAGATGTTAAACTCTTATGTATCATTTAGTTTGTAATAGATTTTTCTTCAATCTTTTCTTTTTCTTCTATGAGAATATCATATATTAGGATCTTTAAAGCCTGGTACAGGAACTTTGGTCCCTGCCAACACATCAAAGGGCGAAGTTGAACTTTGATGGAAGCTCTATAGGTAATCTGGACCCATTGGGTATAGGGGAAGTACTTAGAGATGGAGAATGCAGAATTATTGCTATGTTTTCGGGACCAATAGGAGAGCGAGATTCATTGAGAGCCAAGGTGATGGCTTTGCTTCAAGGTGTAAGATATACCAAACAGTTGGGGTTGCCTCAAATTGAGATCGAAGGGGACTCTAAGTTGCTAATTGGTTGGATGCAGTTGGGTTGCTTGGGAGCCTGGAAACATAGACAGTTGATAAGAGAAATACTCAACATAACAAGGGAGATTGATGTGTGTTTCAAGTGGTTAAGAAGGTCAGCTAATGGGTTAGCAGATACTTTAGCAAAACAAGGGACTGTTAGGGAGAACATGTTTTGAGCAGTGTTGTAATTAGTATGTAACTTGGGTAAACACCCTAGTCTTGGGGTTGACAGTTGTACTTTGAATGATTTTTAATGAAGTTACCGTTTCCAATAAAAAAAGAATATCATATATTAGGATTTATTTTGTACTGTTATTTGCTTCATTAAGCAATTCTTTAGAAATTAATGAACTCTAATAGTCTCATACCTTATAACCTAAGTACCTAAACAAAAACCTCTTATCTCAATTCAGCTCAGCTGAAGTCCTTGGGCCTATGTTGTTTTTATGCCTTAAAAGAGGAAAGTCTACAAGTTGGTTAAACTTGTAGCTGCTACCAAGGCATCATCATACTCCAAATATTGGAGATATTTTGTGGGGCCTGCCTGCTAATTATTTTTATCCATTGGGGGGATTACCCAGTATGGACATTTTTTTAATAGTAAAAAGGAATATATATTAAAAGAAAAGAAAGAAGAATGACACAAACTATGGCGATGAGCCATCACCAAAATATCCAAAATTGGATAGTACGCTACACCCTCTTCCTTATAACACATACGCTATCCACCATGCGCAAAAAACATAAAGCAAAGAATACAACTAAGAAAAAAGCTTCCTACACCTTCCGTATCAACTATTAGACCCCTAGATGATCACGAGATCCAATCCCCCCCAAAACCCCCAAAACAATATAAGACTCCTTTTATTATTTCAGTAACCCAACCATCTTTATATCTTTTTTTTTTTGTTTTTTTTTTGAACGGGAACAACAAAACAGAGTTCGCTGATTAAAAGAGAAACAAGTACAACAAGCGGCTGTGAGTTAACAAATCTGTTAGAAGAAATGAGAAGAGCCCCTTCTGTCGCACCATAAATCATACTTTTTTACAATTGAGCCCTAAAACAGTTGTTGTCTAGTAACCCCTTGTTTGGTTAACTCATCAGCCAAACTGTTGGCTGAGCTTTGCTCCCATTGTATTTCCAACTGCATGTTTCTAGAATGCCAATCAAAGCATCTTATTTCATTTCTGTAGTTTCAGTTTGCTGCAGCACTCTTTGATAACCGGCTTATGATCACTTTTTAATATCGTTAGCCTTTGCCTTTTGAATCTTAACCTTTACATCTTCCATTCAAACCATACCACCCATAAGCCTCCTTACACCAATCCCCTTTTAGCTCGTGTATTATTAGGAGACCACCTAGTTTAAAAGGTGATAATTCACCCATTTAGGCAACAAAATAGTCTAAACAGCTGCCTTGTAATTAACTATTAACTGAAGCCTAGCCATGAGTTAATTTAGTCTGTGGCAGAAGTTTTTTTTTTGGGAGCCATAATAAAAATATTTATTGAAAATTATTAGAAAGACATTTTAATTTAAATTTGAAGTTTAGGATTTTCTGGGCATTCTACCTAGCTTACTTAACCTTCCATCTACATCATTTTCTCCTTTTCTTTTATATATTATTCAAATGCAATTCAAAATTAATATCAATTCAATCAACCATTTCAGCAATCTTATAGAGATTTATACAGGATATGATTATTAGGAATCAGTAAACAAAAATTAAGCAATTTACAACTCATAGCACATAACAATGATAATGCTATCAACAGATAACAATAAATAGAATCTATTAGGGAAAAATATCCAAGTTGATACTAGAAAGTTAAGCCCAATAAATAACATATTAGATGAATAAGATCAATAAATTTAAACCATTTACAAATTCACATGTTCAAAATGAATCCGGATCACATAAATAATGTGTTGTATTAAATAGAGATAGCCATCCATCTTGATGCCTGGTTAGAAATGACACCGACAAATATATAAAGGACATAAGACAGAATGAACTGAAATAAGAGATCAATCTTAGCATTAAATCTTTGAGTGAAAATATAAGATCTATGGCTGAATCAATTGATAAGAGATGGAGCCTCAATAGTGGATCTTAGGTCCTAGGATTACCTGGGGAAAAATGATCAGATCAGATCAGCCTGTGGATGCTTACAAGGACAAGAGACTTTTTTATTGAGCTGAATGCAAACTGAATTGTGGTTAGAAACTCTCCATGGATTTGATCAGTTTATGAATCTGGTGGCCAACAACATAGTAGAGGTAATTTGAAGTAAGAAAAGTGTCATTACCTATGGTAGTCTGTGACCATCAATGGACAAAGTAAGGTATGATGGACAGTCTTGAGTTGTTAAACAGAACATGGTAATTGTAGCTTAGTGCAACATATCATATGGAAACATTTTCCTATTGCATGGAACTAGTGGCATGTGAGGTTAGGTAGCATATCCTGTAATCATGGATCAAATGAAGGTTTAACAACTTGGATGTGGTAGTGTTTTTGATTGGCATATATAGTCTTAAGCACAAGTTTTATATAGTGATGAATTTGTACTGGAATTCTGGAAATAGGAAGTTACCTTCTGGAAAAAACTTGAGGAAAAAAAGGAAAACTTGTAAATGGGTTAGTTTGGAGAAAAAACGGTTTTTTTTTTTTTTTTGCCTATGCAGAAATGAAAGAAAGGACAATTTGAGTGGTTTTTAATTGAGAAGTAATTTTTTTAGGGAAAAATTAGCAAAATAGGATGGTATACGGTTTAGGAGGTATTTTCTGATTTTTTTTTTGAAATCTAGGAATTAGAACTTAGAAGCTTAGATACTTGGAGAGTGAGAATGCTAGGTCATAGGTCTTCTAATTATAGTTTTTTTTTTTTTGTGTGATCCTAATTCATAAAACATATGGGTGCTCAATTAATGATAGGTTATTTTCTTATTTTGGTAACTAACAAGTACTAGTTATTAGAAAGAACGTGCGGATCTCAAATGAATATTAAGTAGTAGTAATAGGGTTGTTTAGGTAATAAAGAAACGGAGAATAGAAGGCAGCAATTTGTAGGTCACTAATAAATGGTAAGCTATTGCTTTTATTGGCAATTAAGTAATTAGTAAATAGTATTTTTAGTAATAAGTATACAAGGTTCTTTCCTTTAAAGGGCTAACATTAAAAGTAGCCTTCCAAATTTTGAGAGGTAGGGGTGGTGGAGCTAAGTTTCTGAAGGCTTTTTTGGTAGCCATGTTATAGAAAAATCAGGGAACAATAGGGCTTAAAGGAAAAGGAAGAAAAAGATGGGAAAAAAAAATCCATAGGTCTGTGACCTCAGAACTCTGGTTTATTATCAAAAAACAAAGGTCTGTGACTGTCACCAACTCTCTGTGTTCATGTGCATGGATTTTTGTTTTGTATTCCTCTATTAGTTTTTAAATGTTTTGTTTAGAAAAGACAATTACCCAGTGTTTGCTCCCAGCTATCTGCGGTCTTTGTAGGGGTAAACCGGATATGAACCTAACCTTTTTTTTTTCGTGCACAAGTGGCTACTCTCAGACTTAAACCTTCTACGTTCTCATGCTTGTCAGCCTGATATTTTATCAGTTTTTTTTTTAAATGTTTTTCTTTGCTTAAAATGATTCATAATTGTTAATTTTCTAGAAATTTGATGTTAGTAAGACAATAGGAAATGATTCATAATTGTTAGTAAGATAATAGGAAATCAGAAGCATGTTCCATGTGGAACATGTGCCTATTTTATGGGATCTGGTTTGTCATAAGTTTAACAGGTGCCAAGGTGCTTGGCCATTGGCTAGGCTTACTTTTTCTGCCTTTATGACTATGTCTAAGCATGTGTACTCATAGCATCTATAGTCTGATCAATTTCTAGCCTTAGCATTCCTCTACATTGACAACCAAGTTACCCATAAGATTCACTCTTAATTTCTTAGTTTTACTATTACCAATTAAATACCTTTTGTTCTAAGCATGTCCATGCTGTTAATTGGCTCCTACTGGAAACTAAGCGAGGGCATTGACTTAAGATGTGACCACTGCATTCAGAAAATTAAATGATACAAAACGATCTATAGAAGGATGATTTTAAGCTGAGTCTTGAAATGATTTGGAGTCTTACTGCCACATCAAAGAGGAATCAAACCTCTAAGAACCCATATCTCCATAAGACTTGTGTAGAATATTTTAATTCTTCCCTTTTTCATTCTCAAAACAACATCATGTTAGTTGTTTATAATGAAAATGGATCTCTTTTGAGACCTACCTTATCTATGCTTAAAATGGGGAAAAGACAAGAAACTGCTATAGAAATAATTAAGACAACTCTTTTTTTTGATTGGAAACAGTAACTTCATTAATGAGCTTTTAAAGTGCAGAAGTCAACCCCTAGTAGATGAAGTTGAACCAAAAAGCAGCATACATTACAGCACTGCCCAGTACAAACTCTCCCTTACAGTCCCTTGTTTTTCTAAGGTATCAGCTAAGCCATTAGCTGATCTTCTTACCCACTTAAAACAAGCACCCACCTCCCTTGTTATACTAAAAATTTCCCTTGTTAACTTTCTATGTTGCCATATTCCCAGACAACCTGATTGCATCCATGCAATTACCAACTTAGAATCCCCCTCCATTTCAATCTGCTGTAGCCCCAACTATTTGGCCAATCTTACTCCTTGATGCAGGGCCATGATCTCCGCTCTCAAAGAATCACCAACTCCTATTGGTCCAGAATATAGAGCCATTATTTTGCCTTAAGACAACTTTTGAAACTAACTCTTTGAGATAACTTGAAGAAACAAAATTTACAAATCAAGCAGGAATTAATCTTGTAATTCTTTAGCAAGCCGAGAGAAAATTGCTAATTTGGTCCAGGTTTAACCATTGTGGCTAAGAGTCTGTGGATGCCCGATGCTAGGATGCTTTTGGACAGTTTGAAGGTTGACTATGAAATTGTGGCTTGGGTTCCTTTCAGTACTGGTATTATTGTTGCTGATTTTGGATGATTTATTACACCTTATACCCTAATAGAACTAGTTATGGTTTTTCTGTGGAGACCATTTTGGGGTTGTTTAATTTTGTAATTGTGGATGGATCTGACCCATCACCATCCATTCTTAATAATGGAAATGGAAGAGTCTTAAGAGGATGGCCTTAAGGTGATTGGAATTTGGATCAGAAATATGTAGGCAGAAGACCCTTGAGTTGTATCCAGGTGATGATAGGAAGGGCACATATTTAAGATTGAAAATCCTATCTGTTTGTTGAATAGATTCTTTCAAAATTTCCTAAAAGGAGCTGTACCCTATTATTAAATATTGAGAAGTTGGGCTGTATGTTATAGTGTTTTAAAGTTGATCTTTATATTTTGTATAAAAAAGTTGATCTTTTTGTTGGAAAGGATGTGCATTAATATTTCTATGTGCTAATACTGACTGAAATGATCAAAATTAATATTTCAGATGATTTGTTTTTACAAAGTCAACTGCAGAGTTTTGGTGGTCAAACTTGTGAAAGTAGAAGCATTTCAGACTTTTAGCCAATACCCATAGCAGACAATCTGTATTTCACTATTAGTGCATCGGTTCTTTGGATTTAAGTGCTCATAATTTAACAATGGATATGGCATTAAACAGAATGGAATGGCGAAGCAGAATTCATGTAGTTGACCCCATAAAGTTAGGCAATGCTTAGATGATGATGATGATGACATAGGTTCTTTGGATTTGCTTATTAGGTGTTTCAGTTCATATAGATGATGACAATGATGGTCGTCTTTTTGCTATTTGCAGAAAGTATAAGCTGCCTGTGTCACGTATTATTCCTTTCCCCAAGCGAAATGATCCTTCCAGTGCACCAGAATTTCCAACTGGGAAGCATGTTTTAGCAGTCTATCCTGGAACTACTGCATTATATAAAGCAACTGTAGTGAATACACATCGCAGAGTAAGAATATGATTTTATCTTTTTTAATACCATGCTTGAATGTTGTGCTTATATATTTAAAATGATCAATAAAATTGGTTATTACTCGTTTTTTATGGTATCCTTCAATTATTTGACTGACTGTTTGCATTTTCCATGTGATTTGTGCTCTCATATGTTATGTAACTTTTCAGAGGAAGGCTGACGAGTAAGTTATTTCTCACCTTATATTGAACATTTTTGCTTCTGTTTCTGGTTTCTAACATTCTGAAAACATCCAACTTCTTTAATCTTTTGTATGGATTGGACTGTTACCTCACGTATCATGTACCTTTTGTGCTGTCTAAGTAAACAGCACTAATGGCCTTCTAAAAAAAGTAAACAGAACTAACTTATTCAGTATTGAGTGTGTTGGAACCTGCTGATTACCTATTTAGCAGGATCCATTGCTGGATCCCCCAATAGGGGTGTACTTTGAGCATGTAAATACAGTGCACTGTATTTATGCGGCAATCTGTACTTAAACGTTCCAAGTTTAGTTCCTCTTGGGGATCCAGCCTGTTAATAGGAACCAGCAGACCCGGGGTGGTATCAAGCAGACTCTAATTGTGTTACTACTACTAACATTTGAAAGAGCAGCCTAATATGAAAATAGGCCAATGCACTCCCTCTTTCACTTCTCACTGAAGGTCCAAATTTGGAATTTCATTTTCCAATTGTTCTTAGTTTTTAGGAAACTAATTCTCATCTGCACTAATAGCATTGCTTATATCCATGATTCACCCTAGATATCAAAGTGACTCCAAACGTATTCCTCTTCTCTGGCAGTTATTTACTAGAGTTTGATGATGATGAAGAAGATGGATCCTTACCCCAGAGGACGGTACCCTTCTATAAGGTGGTCCCACTGCCTGAGGGACATCGCCAGTGATATTGGTGTATTGTATGTTGTTTATTCCTTTTGTTTATTCTCTTGGTTTTTAGTGTAATGAATCTTAATCTTTTTATGCCATATATATAATGTGTATGTCAAGCACGGTGCTTTAACTCTTACGGTTCTTTGTATTAATATGAGCAGTTTTCTCTATTCGCTCTCCTCTGTCATGGGAAAATATCTTTATTGCAGGATCGATAAAGATAGTTTCAATTGATATAGGAATTAAAATGCATGAATTGCAATAGTTAAAGTTGTCTTGTTGTCGCATTTTCTGGGATTATTAAATCAAGCATTAGAAACTCCATGTGATGAATAACCCTGGAAAGTCGGAACCTGTGGATTTAAGGCATTCACTTTTATCTGCAGATGGTCGCACCATGATCACCCCCCTCACTCTCCTGCTTTCATCTACTTAATACAAATACATATTCATACACGACAAAAGAGGAAGGGCTTGTTAATTGGTTGAGTACTTTTGTTTTAGTTGGTAGGGTTTCCGTCTGATCTCTCGCACAAATGGGCAGACTACTATTTCTTCATAGTCATTTGTTGGGTGGTCTATCATCCGCGTAACTATGCAAGCACACAACCAATGACGAGTCTAAATCTGCTCCTCACAGCATGTGTTGGCCAGGAATATCTCCTGTACTTGTATTTAATATTCATGAGTAGATGTTTCTAATACACGGTGGGATGTGGCTGTGAGGACCAGATCCCAATTCTAATGACAACTAAATCCGTTCTTGCTTCAAAAACAGCCTGGTATGTGTTACTCGTACTTTATTTGTACTTGTGTAATTATATCATAACCACTCTTCACGTTTCATATAGACAAATAAATACATCACTTCAGTTAATTATTCTGTAATGGGTACATTGAAGTTATAACTATACCCTTATTACGAATGTGCACAGTAACACCATTGTGTATTTTTAAGTATCGGATACACTGGATATACACATCATGGATCCAGAGCTTTTAACATTTGATACTCTATTTTTAATTTTTTATGTTTCCATTTTGATAAATTCACAAATACTTTATTTTTAATTTTTTTTTTGTTTCCACTTTAATAACATTCGATATTAATGTTTAAAGTTTCAACCCATTAAAGAGCCTAACTTTTTTAGCATTTCAGTGACTCAATAACTGATACATATAATTGGATATAATACGAAATGCTGTGATATTTTGAACCTTGATGCCATGTTTGAGAGTTTGATCAATCACAACACTCCCAATGAATTCTCCCCATGAATTTTGATGAATGTCATTGGTTAGTGTACGGTCTTAGCTCAAGGCATTTAGCTGTAGGAGACTTTGAAGTTTGAACTCATCCAAGGAAATTCAGCGATCACTATCAGAGCGCTAAGCAACTCGGAAGTTACTTTCAGGCTTCCTTTTCCTTTGCCGCCGACCGCCGTTGTCGAGCTTCTCTAGTCTCTAGTCTCTACTACTTCGGTTCCAACGTCGTTGCATTTTTATAGCATAGGAATATAATATGACTCGGCTCGGCTTAATTTATTTGATCCGGTGAGCGCAAAGCGATCTAATGAGTCAGCCCATAGGTTCGCACCAAGCCCCCAACAGGGTTGATCCGAAAAGGAGTCAAGCTTCAAGCCTCAAGCCTCAAGCCTTGAGGGTAGGTCGTAGGTTGGGCCATCTCGTAGTTATGACAAAAAATCGAGGGCATCTTTAGTAATTAAATCTAAACCGCAACGAACCAACCAACTGCCAGTCTACCACACAAATATGAAATACCACACGCACACGCAGGTATCCGTATCCGAACGAAATCTGAACGGCCGATCTCCCTTTCTATGCTTCGCATCATCCTAAGCTTATGCAATAAATTCGAGAAAGAGAAATCGCTCAGATAGTTTCAAGAACCGCGGGAAGGAGAGGAGTTTCTTATTCTTTCCTTCAGGCTTCAGATCATTAACATTGTAATTAATATATCTTATTCTCTCTCCATCTCTCTCCTTTTCTAGAAATCTGTTTATTCCTCTATTTTTCTACTTCGATTACTTTCTCCTTTTAATATAGCGTTAGCGCATCGCTTTTCCCATTTCTATTTTAGCCTACTTAAAATGATGATGGATCATATCGATCTATTTGATTCAGACATAGCGCAATACGTCCAATCAGCTACTAAGAAATTCTGGTCAATATCTTCTTCCACTTCCATTTTACTTATGATCTACACCTGTTGGTTGTGATTTGTAATTCATTTGGAGTCTAATCATCTGTCGGCCAAGCTTCTTCTTTTCTTTGGGGCTGGGGTTGGGATTCTCCGTGGGGATTTTATCTGGTGGGTTAGCGAGGGAATCCTTGCTTTAACAGGTCTTATAGCCAGCTTCAAAGAGCATCCGTGCTATCAGTCAGCATAAGTAAAAAGCTGGATCTCTTGATGCAAGTCCTAGATATGGCATGACCATCTTACCTCCTAAAATATGAGTTCTACTAATGTCCACCCAACTAGAAAATGTTATTTAGGGATTCCATCCATGTCTTCTTTGTCCATGGATATTGTTCCCTTGTTAATTTTTCGGAAATAAACTTTCTAGGTTCAAGGCTATCCAGCCCTAAACTATTTTTATTTTTTATTTTTTATTTTTTCTGTTTGATGTTTTTCATTGTTGGTTTTCTGTGCTCTGGTTTTCTTGTATCTGCTTTGAAACTTAAATGAAATGTTTTATTACCAAAAGGAAATGCTATCCAAGCCAAAAGAGTTATAGAAATATTTCTTTCATATATTGATACCGAAACTGAGTTTCACTCTCCACAAGAGAGTGAGTATTTGAGAACAAAGCAATAGAGAACGTACAAATCCTTGATAGTAGTTGATCAAGACTAGAAGTTTGGTTGATTTTCAAGTAGCTAATCCAGATCTAAGGTGGGCCTGCTTGTTGAGTGTGCTTGGTTGTGCAAGGCTATGTCATTTTTTCTGTTATGCTTGTACCATCTTGAATGGCATTTTGCTTGATAGAGAGTAATAATGGATTCCTTGCTGATTGTGATTAGCTGAGTATGTATGTCATTGATTTCATGAACTAACACGTGAAGGATTTGTAGATGGCTAGACTGTACCTAACACAATGAATTTTTGGTAATTCCAATGCAAACTAGTTTTTTTATTAGAACTTTATTTCTTTGAATCCAAAGCATGGAGGATCATGTCTTTACTCATTGAAAATAACTGGAGCTTCCCACATGCACAGTGGTCCTGGAAAAGCAATATTCCTGTTTCAATCAACCATATTTTTAGATTTGTAGAATCTTTAGAATAAATTTACAAATTATGAAGTCTTCATTTGAGTATGGGAGTTGGGGCCAATTTTGAGCAAGTTTAGAACTCTTGGGTTAAAACCAAAAGTTCCAACCAGAGGTTCCCACATGCACAGTGGTCATGAAAAAACAATACTTCTGTTTCAATCAACCATATTTTTAGATTTGTAGAATCTTTAGAATTAAATTTCAAAATATGAGGTCTTCGTTTGAGTTGTCTATGGGAGTTGGAGTCAATTTCGAGCAAGTTTAGAACTCTTGGTTAAAACCAAGTTCAAGGAACTTGGGGTAAGATTTGTAATGGTCCATGAGTCTAGATATCATGCAGGGGGTTGATTGATTGAATATGGGTTTACAGAGTGGATGGTTGGCTCCTTGCCTCGATTTTGGAGGCTATTTAGCAGGGGGCTTACTATTATCATTTTTTGTCTGCTGTATGTAAAACAAATGAACCTTTTTTTTTGGTTATAGGTTTGTCCAAAGAATGAGAGTTAGCTTCTTTGATTGTTCTGCAGTTTCTCATTGGTAACATGATCAGCTCTTGACTAACCAGTACAGGAAGGGAACTATTTCCTTAATCTAGGTCAGACTATCACATATGACTTGTTTGCATCTGACCAAGAGCAACTCGTTATCTCTCGTTAACATCCAAAATCCTTGGCCTGCAACTCAGTACTTGTGAGATTTGAACTCTTTGGACAAAACTTCTTGGGGAGTGGGTTTCGTATGCAATCCATTTTGTACCAAAGTGGGTGATACTTTTCTCATCATGGAAAAATTTGATCTCTTCCCTTAAATAGGATGTGAATAAGGTGGATATATCATTAATGGTCTCTTATTTTAAACTAGAGTGGTGTTTTCCAATGGTAAGTGGTTAATGATCCCCATTTCTGATGAAAAAGCTTTTGTTCTCATCATAAATATTCTACTCTCTTATGGTTAAGTTGGGTTTGCTTTTCATGTCAACAGAATTTCCAAACGGAGCTTATTAAATAGCTTTCTGCCCCGTGTCTCACCTATGGATACCCAATGTTTTTGCTCTTCAAGGCCCATTTGATATCAGGATTTACCATTCAAGTTGCTCCTTTCTTGATGCTTGCTCATTCCAGTGCTTGTACAAAATTTGATTTTCTAATCACATGTTCATCGTACCCAAAAGTCCAAGTAGTGCATGCATGAAAAAATGCACATTAAACTCTTTACAGGAATGTGATATTTTTCAGAGGTATGAGAAAACAAATAATTTTGAAATATAACCAATTCCAAAATTATAATTTAGGCATAGGGAGAATGGTTTAGTCCTGGCCTTCTACCCAAGGAAACCTAAACCTCATGTTGTTTTTATTGTTTTATATGATCAATTTTAACATCTCTTACACATGAATATGAGCTATTTTTGTAGTGTAGTGAAAGAAAACCACTTTCTACTTGCACAAGTTCTGGTCTCTTGAGTGTTATTTTTATGATTTAACAGGAAGTCAGGAATCTATATCAGTTGTACTAAATGACCTCGACAAATAGATTAGTGGGACTACAAGGCAAGCAACCACTTTTCTCATTTGGAATTATATCTGATGTCCAGTATGCCAATATTCCTGATGGCCGCTCATTCCTTGGAGTTCCACGGTACTATCAGCACAGCATTCTGGTCTTGCAAAGAGCAGTCAAGAAATGGAACGGCCACCAGAAGCTCAAATTTGCTATCAATTTGGGAGACATTGTTGATGGATTCTGCCCCAAAGAGAAGTCTCTAGAGACTGTACAGAGAATTATTAAGGAATTTGAGATGTTCAATGGTCCTGTCTACCACATTATTGGAAATCACTGCCTCTACAATCTCTCCCGTGACTCACTACTTCCACTGCTGAAGATGCCCGCTCCTAATGGCCGTGCCTACTATGACTTTTCCCCAACCCCAGAATATAGATTTGTGGTGCTTGATGGCTATGACATCAGTGCCATTGCTTGGCCTCAGGATCATCCAAATACATTGGAAGCGTTGAAAGTTCTGCAAGAAAAGAATCCAAATTCAGACAAGAACAGCCCAATGGGAATGGTGGGTCTTGAGAGAAGGTTTCTGATGTTCAATGGGGCAGTTGGGAAGGAACAGTTGGAATGGTTAAATGGTGTGCTTCAAGAAGCAACCAGACATGGACAGAATGTGGTGGTTTGCTGCCATCTGCCTCTAGATCCTGGTGCAGCAACCCAAGAAGCACTACTATGGAATTACGATGAAGTGATGGATGTGATACATAGATACAAGTGTGTGAAGGTTTGCCTGGCTGGCCATGATCACAAGGGCGGATACTCGGTTGATTCCTATGGGGTTCACCATCGGGTCCTTGAAGCTGCTCTGGAGTGTCCTCCAGGCTCAAATGCATATGGGTATGTAGATGTGTACCATGACAAGATCTCTCTCTCTGGTACTGATCGTATGGCTAGTACTGAAATGATATTCACTTCTTAAGTGGAATTGATTTGACATTAGTCAAGGCATCTGATGTGGCAGTTGCTCCTAACTATTCATGCAGAACCATAATCATTTATACACAAAAATTATCTTATGATGGGAAGCTCAAGATTGAAGAACCCATTGTGAATTTGTTGAAGCTTATCATTTGGGAAAAAACATGAACACAAATTTATAGATAACTTTGCCTGCCAGTTCTACTCGTAGTCCTTGTGGATCTCTCACTCTACCACCACTCCTTGTATTTGTAACTCATTTGTTCAATATTGTCAGTATATGTCAGCCTTCCATCCCAGATGCGCTTAGTAACATACAATCAATTGGGTGCCCATGGAGGTATGGCCCTTCATTATGTAACAAATGCTCAAGGGATCAACTGTGGAGAGAGAGAGAGAGAGAGTCCAATATTGAACTCGTCTGTGTCTGTGAGAATGTATTCCTTCTTCTGGTCTTCCTGTATCTACCTACTCTCCATGATGTTTATGGACATTATGGAGAACGGAATGTGGACGCTGTGCAATAATGACCCATTCGCTGGACAGTTCCCCCCATTTTTGCAAAAAAAAAAAAAACAAAAAGAGAGAGAGAGAGAGAAAAGACAATTATCCCTCGAAATAGATTATTGTGTAATTGGATGTTTACAAAACACCTTACACCTCTTTGAGGTTTCTGCAAAACAGGACTGGTACTAGCATGGCTGAGTGAAAAACCTTCTCTTCTTTGGAGTTGATTTCGACAGATATTTTCTTTTAATATACAAGTAAAATCAACTTTATTGTTGCCGAGGTTACTCACTTTGTCCCATCAAGGCTATAATAAATACGTACTATGTCCCTGTCTGTATAAATATTAATTCGATGTTTTTGAATCATTTGCAATGTGACAACTGACATGGTAGAATATTGAACATATATCAATTGTACTTTTTGAAATTTGGGAAATTCTTTTCTTATTTTTATTTCCAGTTTTACACTGTTGTTATACTTGTAAGAGAAACAAACAAAGTGGATAATACTTCATCATGTCTAAAGCTTCCCCGTCATCCATTCAAACTCAACCATCAAAGTTGTTTGTTAATAGAAAGCAGAAGACTTCCTCACAAACACTAGAACTAAATTCCTATCATTTATCACTTGGAATATGTCTGTCTCTGGTTCAGCTCTTTTGAGACACCTTGGCCTTCCTCTTCTCAACCAAGAAGAACCCAAACAGGGAGAGCACCGAGAAAGCAGAGAAACAACCCGCGGCGATATCGAGGGAAGCGTGGCGCCCGCTGATCCCTTGGATGTCAAATAGGTTGGTCTTCTTTTGACCGTCCGTAGATTGTCCAAAAGCCACCTGCTGGCCGTCCGAGTTGTAAGCATAGGCCCTCACGAAGTAAGTCGCCGTGGGAACATCTCTCTCGATCGTCCAATCGAAGCTCGGCTGGTTGGAGTCGTAAGCTCTGGCAACGATATCGAATTGACAGGTCTTGTCTTTGCTCAGGTCGTCTTTGGTCTTCCTCCACCCACGGTCTTTTTGGCTGATGGGTGCGTAGCATAGCTGAACCTTTACCTTCTTGTATGCCTCATCGGTCCCGACAGGGAAGCTCTGATTCATTCCCCACGTTACTGTTATTTTGTCCTCTCCAGCTCTCAGCACTGTGTTCGATTTGCAAATATTAACCAAAACAAAATTAAATATGATCCATCTCAAACTCAAATAATAACTTTATAATATTTGATCCAAAGAGGCTTTGTGGGTTCTTTTGAGTTGAACAACTTTTTTTTCGTGGACAGAGGTCTCTCGTATGGGATCAATGCTAACTTACGTGTTTTGGACAAAAAATTCATCTGGGTATCAGAAGTTACTCTGATTTGATGCCACCGGCCCATCGCATAGGGGTCAAACCGACGGCGAATGTTAGGAGAAAAAGAACGTGCCAGAATCGAATCTTCGAAGACAAATTTATTACTAGAAGACCAAAGCCAATTAGCAAGTTACCAGCAAAAGGACGTGGAACTAAAAATAAATTTTGAGATTTAAGCTGCTTAGTCTGTTTGGTGTATATTGCCCTGGTTAACCGGCATCCATGGAATGCATCGTTATCTTGATCCCTATGAAGACGACCACGGGCATCGTCGGAAAATACACTGGCACACTGGTTCACGTTAGCAGGTCGGGGGGGGGGGGGGGGGGGAACTAATGAAAAGAGATCAATAGATGGTTCCTCCGGTCAATGACTCAATGGGGTTTCCTCGTTTACCAGCTTGAGAAGTACAAGAAAATAAGCAAGAAAAAGGAGAGAATTTTGAGAACAAAAAGTAAAAGGATGAGTTCCAAATTCAATACCTTGTCCGTCTTTAGGTGAAGCAGTGACAACAAGAGTTCGTTGAAGAGAGGAGAAGAGAACGGTTCCATAACACGACTCCGCTAATAAGCAGAAGGCAAAGGCAAGAAGAGAGGCGATGAGAAGACGGGAGGCCATTAGTACAGTTGAAGCAGAAAAATAGAGGAGGAAATTCCGACTGCCTTTGACAACTTTTGGGAGGCATATGCTACCTTAAATACAAGGCAAACTGCGGGAGGCCAATGGCCAATGGGAGTGAGTCGTGCCAAAAGACAAACCTCCAACGGCCTTTGGCTGCTTTTGAAGAGTGGGGAACTCAACTCAGCCGCATTTAAGTATGATAATTGATGGCCCTCAAGATGTTGAAAGGGTAGGGTTAAGACCAAGAGGCACGCAAGACGTACTAACCCAAAATCGTCGTTTGGATTTCATCGTGTATTTATGGTTAAGCTCACAAATTTGGGCACATCCTATTTTTTAATAACTGCACATCATATTCGTATCTTGTATTACTAAAAAGGATAATTATAAAATTATTCATTAAAGTTAAATTTAATTATATAATGTTAATTTATATTTATAACGTATATATTCGATTTAGTTTCAGTACCAGTTAAAAAATGTTAAATGAGAATATTCTAAACAATAATATAATTTATTTTATATTTTTATATTATATAATATCTATACTTGTCATGAGCATAAAAGTTAGAAAACAGTATTTTAATTATAACATCATATCACCGGGCTTAATACTTATAAGGACGATTATCCAAAAATATTTTAATCTTTGAATTCAATCAATGAGTTATGGTATTTAAAATACAATATTACTTTAAAATCCATTCTAAATGTCTTTTCACCTTTTTAATGTTTACTCTTTTATCTTTTACTTGCAAACATGCATGGCAATGCTATTATATTAATCTATTATTATATATTAAACTAAAAATGGCCAGGGTAGATGGACTCTCCTTTATCTGTAATATATATATTTTTTATTTTCTCCTTCTTTCTTTATCCCTTTATAGCACTCTCATTAAGCCAAGTCATCAGGGTTCTTCACCTCCTTCATTAGGTCACGTCATCCTTTCTATTTGAATAAATTATAAACTTCCTATTTTTTTCTCCTTTTTTCAATCGTGAAGGACTTTCCGATAGTGAACCCATTAGTTCCCAACAGTGAAGACATTTTCAAAAAATGGTTCCCATCTGTTTAATTAGTTCCTTTCCCCTTTGTTGTAATCATCGCTGAACTTATAGTTTGTCCAACCGAGGTCTGACATGGAGTTTTGGTTGTTTTTTTTCTGTACAAATGAAGTTTGTTTGAGTTCAGTTCAGTATGATTCTATTTTTTCTATTCTTTGAGAGTTTAGACCAATGTAAGATTTGAATGTTTAGACAAAAGATAAAAGACGAAACTAATATTGTGTTTTTTTACTCTATTTCAAACCTTGCAGAACTCATCTGGGTAGCCATCAACTGAACTGAAACGGTCTACAGGGATCTAGTGTGGAACAGACTAGGAATAGGATACCCTTACCTGCTTATCATGCTAATGAGAGACAATGTTAAGAGAGATGAAGTGTGGAAAGTCTGGTTACGTAGGTGATCAAGGGGAAAATGGCAAAGAGGTGAAGCACAATATCATGGAATATTCTAAGAAGGATCAAAAGAGGCCACCCACCAACCCACCCACACACCCATTTCAGAAAAGTTGGGTGAAGAGGATAAAAGGAAAAATTCCAGATCAGTACCCTGAAATTTGGCTTGAGTAACAATTTAATCTCCGAACTTTAAAATACGATAATCTAGTATCCAAATTTTTAAAATGAGACAATTCAATACCTGCTGTTAACCAGTCCGTTAATCAGTCGTTAAGTGACATTTGAAAAGTCAAAAATATTCTTCAAATGCCATCTAGTTTTCTTTTTCAACCATCCAAATGTTGACAAAAAACTAAACAATCCCAAATCCTAGCCTCTTCTATTCAAAAAAGTTGGTGACTGTTTAGAAGAATCTAGAATTTGGGACTGTTAATTTTATTATCAATGTTTGGATGGTTGATAAAGAGGATTAGATGACATTCTTAAGATATTTTTAACTTTTCAAAAATCACTTAACGACTAATTAACAAACTGATAAATGACAGGTACTAGATTATTATATTTTAAAAATTTAAATACTAAATTATCGCATTTTAATGGAGATATTGTAGATACTGTATATATTTAGAAATATATTATTTAGGAAGTTGCTAATAATGGAGATATTGTAGATACTGTATATATTTAGAAAGATATTATTTAGGAAGTTGCTAATATTGTGGATAGAGTTTTAGGAAGGTATGGTTTTAGGAAGTTGCTAATTTGATCATGATGTAATTGTATATATATGGGGCGATTGCCTCCATTGAAAGACAAGACAGAATAGCCATTCCTTTGAATTTCTATCCATACAATTCTTTATGGTATCAGAGCCATACCACACTATGGCAGATTTGAAATCTCCTTATTACCTTGGTTCGCAAGACAACCCCGGCTTGGTCGTGACCCCTATCGTCTTGAAAGGGGATAACTATGATGAATGGGACAAAGTTGTGAAAAACGCGTTCCGAGCAAAGAAGAAATTAGCTTTCCTTGAAGGAAATGTGACGAAACCTGGTGATGATGCCGGCGAATTGGAAGATTGGTATAGTGTGAATTCCATGTTGGTAGCATGGATATTCAATACCATAGAACCAGGTCTCCGGTCTACGATCTCCTATATGGAAACAACAAAGGAACTGTGGGAAGATCTTCGAGAACGGTTCGCCATCGGGAATGATCTACGGATTCACCAATTGAAGAGCGACTTGACCAATTGCAAACAGGAAGGTATGCCTGTATCCGCATATTATGGGAAGATGAAGACCATGTGGGAGGAGTTGGCTGGGTATGTGAAGAACCCACAATGCACGTGTGGTGGATGCAAGTGTGGAGCGGCGACCGAGCTGACGTTGGAGCGGGAAAAGGAGAAAATTCATCAATTCCTCATGGGTCTTGACAGTGTAGTTTATGGTACTGTTAGATCGAACATTTTGAGTACAGAACCTTTACCTTCTTTAAACCAAATATATGCAATAATTGTGCAAGAAGAACGACACAAAATGGTGGCTCGAGTACGTGAAGAACGAGCAGAGGCCGTAGGATTTGCTGTGCAAACTGGAAATAGAACCAAATCTCAGAACAAGGATGAGAAGACGTGCTCTCACTCTGGGAAAACTGGACATGAGGTACTCGAATGCTTCTAGCTTGTAGGCTACCCAGATTGGTGGTTTGCAGGCAAAGGAGGTCGCTCTGGTGGTCGTGGAGGACGAGGAGGTCGAGGCACGAGAACCGAAAGAGGTCAAGGAGGATCTGGTTCAACGGCGACCAATGCTATCCAGACACCAGGAAACTGTGGCACTAGCACCACTGCTGCGGCTGTACGGACTAGCGATAAAGCTGGTTTTCCCGGACTTAATGATGAACAATGGGAAACATTAATGGCGATGATCAATTCACACAAGGAATCCACTTCAGAAAAATTGACGGGTAAGAAAACGTGGTTGATTGATTCAGGGTGTTCTCATAATATGACCGAGAATTTGGAGCTATTGAAGAATGTGCATGAAATCGCTCTGTGCGCCGTTGGACTCCCTGATGGAAAGAATATGATGGCGTTGCAAGAAGGAGAAGTACAGCTTGGGAAAGGATTGAACTTAAAATATGTTTTATATGTTCCCAACTTGAATTGCAATTTGATATCTGTGTCTCAATTTATTGATGAATTAAAATGTACAGTCACGTTTTCTAACAATTTATGTGTAATGCAGGACCCCACTTCGAGGACAGTGATTGGTGTGGGTGAGAAGCGTGACGGGGTCTATCTTTGGCGTTGTGTGGCAAGGATAAGTGCATGCAGGTTGGCAAAGGTGGATTCATATGAGCTGTGGCACAGGCGAATGGGACATCCCTCAAAACAAGTTGTTAGTTTACTTCCTACTATTAAAACTAAACTTGCTAGTCAAGAAACATCCAGTGAGTTGTGTGATATTTGTTTAAAAGCTAAACAAACTCGTGATGTGTTTCCTCTAAGTTCTAATAAAGCTTCTGCACCTTTTGCCTTAATTCACTGTGATGTTTGGGGACCATATCGTACTCCTGCTTCATGTGGTGCTATATATTTCCTGACTATCGTTGATGATTACTCACGGGCAGTGTGGATTTATTTAATGGCGGAAAAGAGTGAAGTTGGTGCTAATATTGTGAAATTTTGTGCCATGGTAATGACCCAATTCGACAGTAAGGTTAGGGTGATAAGAAGTGATAATGGGTCGGAATTTGTAGCATCGAGTAATTACTGTAATATTCATGGCATCATTCAACAAACATCTTGTGTAGAGACACCTCAGCAAAACGACAGGGTGGAACGCAAGCATCGACACATTCTGAATGTTGCACGTGCTTTGCGTTTTCAGGCAAACTTACCGGTGAGTTTTTGGGGTGAATGTGTGTTGACTGCCGGGTACCTAATTAACCGTACTCCAAGTTCTTTACTTGATGGAAAGAGTCCATGTGAATTGCTGTTTGGGAAGGAACCAACTTACAAACATATTCATGTTTTTGGGTGTTTATGTCATGCTCATTATCAGGGGCGTGACAAAGACAAGTTTGGTTCTTGAAGTCGAAGGTGCATATTTGTTGGGTACCCTTTTGGTAAGAAAGGATGGAGTCTCTATGACTTAGATACAAAAGAGTTCTTTGTATCTCGTGATGTATTTTCTAAACATATATTTCCTTATAAAGCTGCTGTTTCTGAATCCCTTAACCCCGGTGTGGCCGAGCAACCGTCTGTCTGTAATAATGATGCACAATTCTGTGATGACCAAGAGGTGAACAGTGCAGAAAATTCGAATGATGAATCAACTCCTGAAGAAGATGTGACTCTGGAAGCAAGGGGGAGTGGTGAAGATCTTAATGAACAGAGAGAGGGCAGCGTGAACTTGGAAAGCAACAGTGAAGGAGAAAACCTTGGCCGAGGATGTAGGGAAAGGCGTCCTCCTGAGAAGCTGAAGGACTATATATGCCACACAGCGCAGCACATTAACGACCCCCTCGCGGATCATGCCACATCATACCACTCCTCAGGTGCGTCCTATCCTATTACACGTTACGTGACTTGTACTAACTTTTCTTTGAGACATAGACAGTTTTTGGCAGCTATAACT